TACCACTTTTCCTCTCAGACTGCAGATTCAGGAGGAACTGGAGAAGAGGACACAACAGTTCAACAGTGCATTGCTTTGTCTCCTCTCGGCACCTGCCTTCTTTTCTCTGAGTCACCTTCAAGCACACCACCTCCATGCTCTGCTGTCACGACTGGGTTCTCGGAGTTGAGCTTGAGACGTCGTCTAAGTCGGGGTTCGGACATCTCACCGTCTTCTCAACTGACTCCCTTACCCTCTCTTGCCGTACAAAAGCCGATTTGCCTGACAATCTACTCAATTCTCGCTCAATCGCATGCCAAATTCACCCTAGTGAAGAGTCGGGATTTGCATTTGCCTGCACAGCTTGGCGAAAGAGTCAATCAAGTTGTGGTTGTCACTGCCTCAATCTCTTTGGATGATTCTATGGTGATAATTGGACTGTCAAATGGTCGTTTGTGGATTTACTCACTAGACGAGATTGGATGGGTAGTGTGCATTGCCTCCTCAATACCTCTGAAAGCCAATCCGTTCTTTTCGGCACTCATGAGTGCTCGTACACCACGTCCAAAACCGGAATGTTCACCCCTAGATTCGAGTGTGGTGAGTACTACCTATTACTGAATTTCAGTGAATGTGCCTTCCAAAATGTTCAGTGGATGATAATTTGGAATGCAATTAAGGCATCTGAAGCATTTCCTTTTAAGAAAGGCGATTGTTGTCTAAGGCGGTAGAGTTGAGTTAAAAGGTGTTTTATATGTGGACGATGAATGGTGTTTCAGTGTGGGTGGTTTTGCTTTTCTGTTACTGATGGACTTGATATGCATTGAGCATTCAGAGTTTCTGCTTCATATTTAATGAATCAGAATTACTAATGTATTGAAGCTATTAACAATCTCTACTGCAGAGTGTTTAGCTTTTTGAAGAGAAATCGTATAGCTTTCCATTCTTTAGTTGATATTTGGCTAGTAGTGGCAGTAGTTGTGAAATCGTATGAATACTTTTCTTGATAAGCCTTTCTGGGAATTAAAGTAAAGGTGTATAGATTTTCCCCGTATAACTGCCTTCGAAATGATTCACTACCCATTAGAGTTTTTGTATATTGATTATCGTTGCTATATGTGATCCAGCCCAGAGCAATGCAACGATTTATAATTCAGAGAGAGGGAGTGAAAGAGAGATTGGTGACTAGTCACCTATTATGCAATCCATAATGTACATTTGCTGAGGTCTTAACACAGCTTAGCGCTCTGTATTGAAATGATCTCTATCTTGGAATTTATTCGTGTTTTTTTTTAATAAAAATCAATTGGTTAGGTCTAAAAACGAATCCAATGTGGGCTGAACAGATCCCGTTATAGAATTTAGGTAGAAAAGCTAGGCATATTTTGAAATTTAGAGAAATTGATCTTTCTAGAAAAATGTGAATTTAATGTGGGAAATACTTTTTTTATTATGGAAAACCACTTTAAATACATGATTATCAAATGGAACAGAGTTTAAAATTCTTTGATTGATATTTTCTGAAACTTTTAATTTCTTCCATGCATAAATTATATACTTGTTTGAATTGCGTTTTCTGCAGAGGCGGAGTGCTTTCACATTATTCAACAGTTATATTTACCGTCTGTCACCTGACATTTCTCCTGTGGGATCATGTTTCGCTGTGCTTGCCTCTTGCAGAAACTCTTTCCTTCACCGCATTTGCAATTGCTCCTATAGATTTGGCTATTCATTACAAAGTATAAAATGCCTATTGATTTATAGAATGAGGCATTAATTCTATGCTTTTAATCAACCTGCTAATTAGTTGACAGGAAAATCGAATTGTATTAGCTATTAGAAGGAGGATACTTCAATCATTTCAGGGTGCAAACGGAAACCGACAATTGACTTCCCCATTCAATCCCATATGATAGCTCACTGGACCACTTTGTCTCTATCCTTCTCGAGATGTTATTTCGTGGTTAAAAGTCGCCTTTTTTGTGTGTCTTCGTGTAGTTCTAAAGACGGTGACATGAGAATGAATATATTCTCGAATTTGGAAATTGTTTCCTTCTCTCTAATAAGCTTTCCATTCTTCAGTTTTATATTATTTTCGAGTATCTGATCGGTTAGTCTAGCATTTTTACTACCATAGGCCATTTAATTTTTCTATGAAGTTCAGCTCATGGTACCGTTTATTACTTAATTTGAGCATAATGTTTTCCAGTTTTTTAACCATTTCCTGCTTTTCATTATCTTTGAAATTTTGGAAATAAAAATTATTTCCACTAGGAATCTAGTTAATGCACCGTCAAAGATGGTTGAAATGAATTATTTATTTATATCAAATGGCAGGCGTCTTGATGGTTATCATTAGCCCTTAAGTTGACTTCAGGCTTCACAGAGGGGAAGGTACATCAAATTGAAAAAAGTCGAGAGGGAGGGGGGTTAGTGAACAGAGGAGTGTTTCAAAGATGTAGGAGACAAACACAAAGGTAGAAAATGGTGAGGTGAGTACTGTGGATATAGTCGAATATGGCATAGAGTGAGGTGATGGTAGTTAGAAGTGAGAAATCAACTGCCAGTTAATAGACATTTTTGACGTATGAATAAACGTTGCCCAGGGTGCACCACGTGGAGGTAAGTCTATCGCACACCCCGGTTGAAATGAACTTGAAATTTAAAATATCTACGTGTGGTAATAAAACTGCTGATCCGATGATAGCTATTGTAGCGAATTAAAACTTTAAAGGTAAATGAATCTGATGTAGTGATAATGATCTTTAAAATATAGCTGAGCATTAATTTTAACTTAAACATAGTTAAGGAACGCAGTAGGCAAGGCAATATCAAGCTAAATTGGGGTGACATAAGTGACCCCATTCGGAATTACAATGATTGGGGCCATCACTTGAATTTGAACTAGTCGAGTTCAGAAGAACACAGATGGCAGTAGACGACCACTTTCCAAGGCTATCACACACTCTTTTCTCCCGATTGCCTTAAAACCTAAGCTTCAACCAAGTAATGTCGAAATGATCAACTTATAATTTTTTTAAAGACAGTGATCCAAACAGCGGCTGTGGCTTTGTAAAAGCTTTGTTTTAAGGCTGAAATTTCGCACTTTACCTTTTTCTTCCACCAGCGTCCAATTTGTATCTTAGGTGAGACCACCATATCAAGTATGCAATTAGTCTCTTAAGTGCGTTTTATTTTTTACTTTATGCACGAGTATTCTAGAATATCAATGATTCTCGATGTTCGATGATCTGTCATGGCAATTTCACACCTGCTGGTATCAATTTAAAATAAGATGATTTCGGATTGTTAACTTTTGAGGTTTACAGTGTATCATTACAGCGTGTGTGTGTGTGTGTGTCGAAAATTTGCCATTTTCAGTTATCTCAGTCGATTGTGCATTAGTTTTCAAATGCTTATTACAATTTATATTTATTACACTATTAGATCTCCCAGTCCGACGTTAATTAACATTTAAAATCCCCACTTAATACATTCATTAATATTTCACTAAAAATTTGTACCCGGTATTTGCCCTCTTCCCTCTCCCCCTTCTCCAATTCTTATTAAAAAGCGAGTATTTACCTAATTTCCGAGTGTCAACGGCTGTTTATTATGAAAATTAAGCCGTCTTTCAAAACCGACAATCTACAAATTCGCTCTCTTCTCTTTTTGATTTTGTGTGTAATTTTGTGACCCGCAATAAATTTGAACTTACACGTGTAATTTCCCAAGACAGCGTTATTTAATGTTTTTCATGCTAACATACTCAGCTTTTAATGCAGATTTAACTTCACTGCTTTTATTCATTGAACACTTGAAAATCGCCGTTGAAAGTTTCTCTGTTTTTTTTTGAAGTGGAACTCTCACGTGCTAAATATTTCGCCATTTATCATGCCAAACACCGTCTAAATAAATAAATAAATAAATAAATGGAGGAGTTTGTCGATAATTTAAGGAAAACTTTGTTCTCCTAAATTTTTGCTAGACGCATGCTCGAAAAATCACATTGTAAGAGAATAGCGCAAATTTATAGACAGAACCATAGTAAGGCATATCTAGTTGAATCGTTGTTTAATCCTCTAAGCTTCCTATTTATTTATTTATTTATTTAATGTATTTCCTCATTTAGTCCTACGATAATCCCAAACTGGTGGATTTCGCACTAACTGACGGAAAAGTTGCCAAAGCATGCATTTTTATCCATTGGCCAAATCAGTCCAAAGTGCCAGTCAATCCTGGTGGTTGGGTGCCTCCTTGCAATCCCCTTGTGGCCGCGGCGATCGATAATCTGGTTTTGGTACTTTAATATCTTCATTTTTTTCTTTTTTTCTCCTTTCTATATGATTTAGCCCCCAGGTATAGTACTCTGTACGACCTGGGGTTATGCTTATTTTCTGCAATTGGTCTATTTCGAAAGTAAGTTGGGTTTGTTTATGTGCGTAAGATCTGCGAATGATATATTGTCAAAGTGAGTTGATTGATAGCTCAGTTATATGAACCGTATATACATCAAGCCATATAAAATTTGATTGCTTCTTATATTCTGATTTATGAATTGAACTTAATAAGATTATGATAACAGTAGGTTATCTCCATGTGTCACGTCAAAATGTCTGTACCGAGCTTGTCAAGCAGATAGTATATCTAAATCTGTCAGCCATTTTTTTGGGAAAAATATATTGTTGCAGTGTTTTGAATAGTCAAATTTTTACTGTAGCTGAAGGTGTCTTGGTAAAGGCGTAAACCTGTGAAAACTTTCTAATCTATTTCAATTGATGTGAAAAGGTAATTTCATATTGCCTTTAAAAATGATTGAAACTCCGATATGTTCTTCGCCTTACCTTTTTAATTAATAGTTGTTCGTGAATCATGCTTTCATCATTTATCACGATCTTTAATTTGTAAAATCGAGGCTCATCGTCCTTCTTAGGCTCTCTCATCTGATGTTCCATCTGAGGCAAATGCGAATCTCCAATTTCAATAGATTGATTTTGTAAATAATTATATTTTGACAGGCGGTATACGATTTTGGCTGGAGTTGCACCGAGAATGAGTTCGTTAGGTTCGTCCAATACAAACATTTATTGAACTCTCCAATTGCAATAATGGCTATGGATCTTGTAAATATTAGATAGACCGGTGGTGTACGATTTTGGTTTAACTTGCATCGAGACTGAGCCCTTTATGTTCAGCCTATAAAATATTTACGTAATCTATTTTGGTTTATATGCACTGGAAAATGGATATATTAAATAAGGTAAAAACTCGACCAATTGAAAATTTTTTTACAAAGCTATCTATTCGCAGGTATGGGCCTTTGAGAACAAGCTTCCGGAAAAGGTGGAGGATCTACAGAATCCAGAAAACATTGTCACCAACAGTCGAGCACAGTTCTGTCTCCCTTGCTCACCGACAGCCACCATTACCACTCTAGACAGTCAGCCTTTCGAAAATTACTGTCTGATTGCTGCTGGGCTAACGAATGGGCGTGCTGTGGTAAGCATTGATTATAAACTCCTTCCGTTTTTTATGGACTTTTGTCTGATAGAATTTGAGTCATTCGTTGAAGCTTGCTTAACCTCGTGATATTGAATATGGAGATGTGACTATTTTGGAGATTATCGGTTTATGACTGCGCGTGTTGTGATGAGCTTTAAAAAACACCTTATAGAATTATGTGAATGGTAATTATTATTATATTAAGGTATTTATGTGAGATGGGGTTGTTTGTGAGAGCCAAGAATCGGAGGTTCAGCATATACAGAGGGGACGAAGTGATGACTAGGTAGGTACGGTTTCTAAGCCTAAATTGAATCTCACTAGAGGATTGTGGCCACTGAGTGGGCGTATAGTCTTAATTTCGAAGCGTTTTATTAATTTTTAGTCATCGTTCTTGGCCTAAATTTTCAGTTGGGCATGCCACACTATATAGACCCTACAAGCGTCCAAAGATTTTTAGACATATATTTGCCTTAGGGAGAATTACTATTTTTCTTGACAAAATTTTAACTGAAGGGCTATCATGTTAGTACTAGAACTGATAAATTTAAGCAATTTGCTTCTGGAGTATCTATTGAAACTGTTCATTTTCCATGAAGATTTGGAGTCTCCCAGAGCGTCACAAAATCTTCGACGTATGCGTTCATTGCACACCGGTGTCGAGTATACGTCTCTCGCCTTATGGATATTGTCGCTCGCCAACAGCCACCCCCACCTCATCACCCCCGGGCCTCGCAACTATTACCGCATCGGATCTCGTTGCTGTGACAACTGCTGCTGAAGATGGTGTGGTTAAGGCTTGGGAATTCCCCTGGCAATGCACTAAGAGGCCGCCTTCTACGGTGTGTTGGAAGTTGTTTTTTCATATTAGGAATTTTTGCCTATTTTCTTTTTATCCTGTACACGTCGATCAAACTTTCCTTGTTACTATCATTTCAGCGACCATTTCTGTTGACATCGTTCATAAACTATTCCCTGACTTCTTTTAAAATTTGTTATCTTTGAGTATATTGAAAAGTAAATAGGAAAGTATTGTAACTGAACCAAGCCCAATGACCAGCAAATAAACAACGGTTGACCCTTATTCTCATCTCAAGAATAATAATAAGGGTCAAAGGTGAATTGAGTGTATAGTAAAGCCACAACTAGAATTTGAGATAGTGGAAGAGAGGGGGTAATGAAAGGCGATAGTAACGCAGGTGTACAAAGAATAACTCAATTACATTAGTGTCAAGGTAATTTATGGTGTGAATCTGTTAGCAAAAACGCGAGTAATTCTATTTCGACAGCTAATTTGCTTGTTGGCTTGTAGAGTTCCAAATGTCGTCTTAATTAAAAAAAAACTTGTTCAAAGTAAATGTAGAAGAGTAAAAGTAAATTTCATCGCAATTTGTGATCGGGAATGAAGTTAAATTTTAAAAATAAATATATTTTTAAATTTAATTAATATAATTAAATCGATTTGAGTTTCAGCAAATTCCAGGTCATGTCTACTAATTGCTTTGTATTTGTAAATTGAGTAATTTCACCAATAAGTACCTTCAAAAATCGTTCATATTGTGCATGATTTCCGATTGTAAATGCAAATATTATCTTTCGCCAATTAACATAAAGAACTATTTTCAAGTATACCAATGTTCTTCACAAAAGCATGACCACCTATTCGGTAATTGAGTTTGTTTGCCCATGAACAAGGCCGTTAACTTTTTTCTCTCAACCTTTGATGGGTCATGTTTAACTCTAATCTTTGGCGCTTATTGTGGCTTCATTTTTACTAGAAGTGCAATAATAAACAATTTCTAGTCCTTGTAGAACTTTTTTTGTCACCCAACCGTTAATTAAGCTCATTTCTTCACGAATTTTTAAGATAAAATCGATTGTCATTTCATTAGTGTTTATTAGTTCAGCTTAACGGAGAAGGGTTAAAAACAATCAAATACTCAGTTATTATTTTTTCTGGGTAAAACGGTTCCGATGGGAGAATGTTTTAACTAAAAAAAAAACAGTTTTTAGCTCATTTAACCGAATTGACTTAATGAAAGGAGGCCAAAATCGGTTGTGTGCGTGTAAAGAGATTGGAGAGCAAACATTTAAACCTTAAACACTCCCAGGCGTAGAATAACTTTCACAAATAGGTTGATTTACTGGCGATTTTACTCGATGGAAATGAATTATTTTATATGATAAAATCATCAACTTAATACTACTATTTATTGGCATTACTTCCTCCCTTCGCCCCCC